TACATGTACTTGCCTCTCCATGTCTCTGCATACATGTACCTGCCTCTCCATGTCTCTGCATACATGTACTTGCCTCTCCATGTCTCTGCATACATGTACCTGCCTCTCCATGTCTCTGCATACATGTACTTGCCTCTCCATGTCTCTGCTTACATGTACCTGCCTCTCCATGTCTCTGCATACATGTACTTGCCTCTTCATGTCTAACAATTTTATATTTGGCTATATATAGGGTGTGAATCCTGATCATTTCCAAGTTATTACATAAATTCCCCACCAGAGCCTACTCCTCAGATGGAACAGACCACAGAGAAAATTCTGATAGCATGCATTATTTTCTCTTATAATGTTGAACATGGATATATCTGTATAAAGGGTGGGGACCTCAACCATTTCCAAGTTATGACACAACTTCTTCAATTTGGACCCATCCCTCTATCCCTGTCACACCCTCCATTTACACAAAACTAAATTCTAAGCCCTTGGACCATGGATGCTCTAGATCAAATTTTGTTTAAACCCCTCAATTCATATGGAAACAAGAGTACCGCAGAATGGAACAGTACACGCCCGTAGAATGCCATATAGTGTTATATACTTTCTTACATTGAAATAAGATCTGCATCATTCTAAGAGTGGTTAGCTGACATGCTATAAAAAATGATCAAGGGAGACACAACTTCATATCATGATGATAATGTATATCAAGTTTCAAAGAGATCCGTTGGAAAATGTTGGAGGAGATTGCCGGTCAAAAATCAAATACTGAAATGAACGAAGGGCAATTATTTTTTGAAAAATTGTTGAATCAAAATCCTTTTAAGGGAGACACAACTTCATATCATGATTATAATGTATACTAAGTTTCAGAGAGATTGGTCGAAAAATGTAGGAAGAGATTGCCGGACAAATAAAAGTTTACGCCGGACGGACGGACAGACGGACAGACCCATAACATAATACTCCCGTCAAATTTGACGGGCGCATAAAAAGGATATCAAAGACTCTCTATTTCCCCTACTGGACCCCTACCCCTTGAAAACCTTTTGCCCAAGGATACCAAATTTATAAAAATTCTCTGAGCTATTCAGGACTAGTGACAGACAGACATGGACGCTTCACCAGGACATAATCTGGCCTGACCTTTGGACCTGGAGAGTTAACAAGAGGCCCAATGGGCCTGCATCGCTCACCTGGTATTAATCTCACACTTGTAAACTTAAAAGTGGACTAAAATACAGCTACAGGCAGAATATCAGTGTGACCTTGAATGTCAAACAATGACATTAGGTTGAAAGTGGGTCAAGGTCATTCATTTGAACAAACTTGGTAGCCCTGATTGCTACAGGCCTAATATCAGTACCCTGGGCCTTTTGGTTATTGAGAAGAAGTTGTTTGAAAATTTTAAGACATTTGACACCTGTGACCTTGAAAGTTGGTCAAGGTCATTCATTTGAACAATCTTGGTAGCCCTTCATCCCAGCATGCTACTGGCCAAATATCATCACCCTGGGCATTTTGGTTATTCAGAAGAAGTTGCTTAAAGGTTTTAAACATATTTGACCCCTGTGACCTTGAAAATGGATATAGGTCATTTATTTGAACAAATTTGGTAGCCCTTCATCCCAGCGCGCTACTGGCCAAATATCACCACCTTAGGCCTATTGGTTATTCAGTAGAAGTTGTTTAAATGTTTTAAACATATTTGACCCCTGTGACCTTGAATATAAATCAATGTCATCTATTTGAACAAACTTGGTAGCCCTTCATCCCAGCATGTTACTGGCCAAATTTAAGCACCCTAGGCCTATTGGTTATTCAGAAGAAGTTGTTTAAATGTTCTAAACATATTTGACCCATGTGACCTTGAATATAAATCGGTCTTTCAGAAGAAGTTGTTGAAAGTTTTTAAACATATTTGACCCCTGATGAAGGTCATTTATTTTTAACGAACTTGGTAGCCCGAAGGGCCAAGTGAGCTAAAAATCATTGGTTAAAATAAAAACGATGAGCAAAATGTCAGAAAAATCTATGCATTTTATGACAAATATATGGTCATATAGTACAATGAATACATTATCACTCACACACATTCAAGGCTAAATACAGAAATCTGGCACTTTTGCAGTCTTAATACCATAAAGTAGACTTAATGCTTGTTCAGCTGCATGTGTGTGCAGTAATTGATTGTGTAAATCTTAATACTGAATATTGAAAAATGCAAAATTGAAAAGATAATAAATCAAAGTAAGAAATACTGAACAAATCATCATATTTATTGGGTATAGTGATAGAACTTTTTTTGCTTTCATTCTTGCCATGTTGTCTACTGTACATAAATGGACTCAATCTTAATCTTCAGTCAGTAATCACTTTCATTCCTATACAGTTCTGTTAATACTTTAATACACTATTGATGTTATTTTAAATGCTGTAACCAGCATTGACTTTAATATGCTGTATGAAATGCTTATCTCAACATCTACCATTTCTGTTCTAGCCTGAATGCAACATCTATGGTACCTATAGGCGTGTATCATCAATATAAGCAGCAGCATCATCACTCAGTGTGTGCGATACGTTGACCTGTAAATTCAAATGATCCAGGAACATCTAAAGCAACACGCAATGACTGGTTTATATGATGCATACCGTCACCTTTTTGTACAGCTCACTTCTACAAAGTAACGTTGTTCTATTCATTGTACAACACACTTTTTGTACAAAACATATTACATCTTTTTATCCTGTAAATTCTAAATTTTCACTTTATTTACTCTTCCTATTCATACCCCCACATCCTTTTCTCATTTGTATTTTCCTCTCAAACACCACTGTATATTTTTCTCTTAAATTCCTCCCAGCATAACTTTTCTTTCAGACTTCTCTCCCTTGCATTGCTCTCCTGTGTTTTCCCCACAACCCTCTCCCCCTGGAGTGTTACCACAAAGCCTGGTGAACACCCCCTGTGGTGTTATACCTGTTGGTTCCCCGATATATGGTTCGTCTGGGAAACAGCACTGGGCGAGGTTACCAGATTACACGAGTTCATCACACTAAAGCTATTACTACACAAAGGTTCAAACATGTCCACAAAGTTCAAAGATTGTGTAAAATAATGTCCTGGTATCACAGTGCTATTCATGGATTGTGTTGACAAAATTCCTTCAAAGGTGTTGGACGGGGTCAGAGAGTCTAATGTGGTGACGGGGAGAATGTGACCAAGTTCTGGTAAATTGCTTTCTGGTATGTCAACCTGCTTGGCTAGACTGTCAAGGAGGCTGTCCGACAACATGTTGTCAATGAGGAGTTGACTAGAGGTTGGAATCTCGTTCTCCGCCATGATGGTATCCATGACGTTGGCCAAGGTGTCTATCTGCCCATCCAAGACAGTGCACATATCCATGCGGTCATCTGTTCTGAATTCTTGGGTTGGCATAACAGGGGATTGGGGCATCACAGTTAGGTCTGGGGACACAGAAGGGCTTGAAATGGACACCGGTATCTGTGGAGATGTTGGACTGGTGGGTGCAGAAAGGGGAAGAAAACCCTGGATGCTGGATAATGCTTCCTTTCTTAGATCCTCTGGTTTGGTCATGATACTTGTCTTTTTACACATTGTTGTTAACGAACCAAGCATTCCTAAAATAAGACAATTATGTAGTGTAGAATAGACAAACATTTCTGATATCACTAGTTAATATTTTTTGACCAGTTTCTGCATCAATTAATACAGAAATTAAAATCTCGAACGAAAGTATCACAGATGTTGTAGCACAGTACACTAGTTTTACATAGGATGGAAAGTGAACGGAATTATCAGACTATTCAGACGGCAAGTTTTACAAGAATGCATCAAATTTAGCTAGTTCCAGGCCTAAGTTACGATGAAATCAGATTGCTCCAACAGTTCAATACTTACCTGGGCGAAGGCTTGTGAGAGACAGGTTATCAGCCGCCCACTGGGTCACCGATTTTATCAGGGTATCTCTAGTGCTTGAGGCAGTCATATTTTTGTATGCTTTATACAGAGGATCCATCAGGAAACTGAACTAAGACAACTTAAGGAAAGCAATTTTGTAAGCAGCAATCAATTTTAACATTTTCATTGCTCAGCTCCTAGGCTACAAATACCAGTAGTTTTGAAGAGTGTTAAGTGACATTCAGATTTGATAGTTAACTAGTACTGTTAATAGGACTTTTTGGAGTCCTTTAATGGAGTTTACATTTCCATTTCAACACGAGTGAAATAAATCATGTCACTAACAGTAACAGTAACAATATGTTGAAAAAGTTGTTTTTAAAGACATGAATACAAAAAATACTGCGGTATTCACTTATTCTTTACTCTTAGAAGTTGTAAAAGGTTTATAATCTCTACCTTCCCTGTAGACATTGTGAATTAGAACAAGGATACTATCCAGAATTTCCAGTTCTGAGAGGTACGGTCACGGACGTAGTCTGCATACAGCTTGTCCAGGTCATATTGAGGAGTGTCGAGGCTGTCTATCCCTGTGGCTGGCAGACCATTCTGCAGCACACTAAAATACAACAAGTTAACATGCTTTACATGTGCACATTTACCTAAAAATACTTGACATGTCGTAAGTATAAATATTCTGTACCGTGTACCCTGACGACAACATTAACTACCCTCAAAAAGTTCAGGTTATTTTCTACATTCAAATTCTTATCCCTGACTGCAATTTTTTGAGCAATTTGTACAGAATATTCTATAGCAGAAAAAGTGATTCCTCATCTTGCCTCCTAGTTGTTTTACTTTATTTTATTATATTTATTATTATAACTGCACTTAACAAAATATAACACACTGAACAGATTGATCACAAACAACTTGGTTAATGAGGAATCACCCACTTAAAGACAGAACGTTATCAAAGTGTTGGATGTTTGGACTGACCGACACAAACTGTGGTACGATTCCTTGAAAACTACAAAGCTTCAAACAAAACTGTTATTATATAGGCACGCCACCTCTTAAGCACACAAATTTTGCATATAAATAAAGTTGTATTGTGAAAGGATATGTTGCTTCTGAAAAGAAAGTTCACACCATGAAATAGTAGACAACTCATTGGATGAATATATTATAGAATATATCAAGAATACCTATTAAAGAGAAACAAATCATATTAACACATGTATGTATTATGTAAATTACCACTTATTTCCTGGTGAATCTGTAAGTGAAACAGAGAGGATTAAACAACAGAAGTAAACGCAACAACTATTACTACAGAGTAGAAGCGTACCACAGTTTGTGAAAACGTTTTTTTGTTGCTGCCTTCCAGTCCTTCAAATATAAAATGTATATTTAACGTTTGTTCTATCAATGTTGTTCTATCAAAACAGCAAATAAAGTGTTGTCTTAAACAACATGCATATCATTACCTTAATGAGTAATACAAATTGGTCACCTGGATTCAAATCAAAACAGATATTAATCATCATCCAATTAAATCCAACACTTTGATAGGAGTTAACCTGAAAGTGATAGGAAATGGTGTAATATTAATCAGTAAAGGTTACACGATCAAATCATACATCATTTTAAAATTACACTCATGACTGACAGTTTAATGACAAACTTTACACGTTATTGATAAAGTTTCAGGACTTACTGAATGTCAGACCCCAAGGCTTGTATTTCTTGCCGTAGGACACTGATCTCGTCTTGTCGAGCCTTAGACTCGGCCTTACCCTGGCAGCAATGCACGGCAGCTACAATATGGAGACGTGTCAGATATTTGGGTGAGGGCACCCCCCACACAAACAGGGGGGTGTCGACCTATAGATAAGCTAAACAACACATACAGTTCTCTTTCCACGAGTCAACACAGCACTAATGCGGATCTACAAAAACACCTCGTTACAGATGGTGGTTTCTTGGAGATTCCCCCCTCCCTTTAACACTGATTCAGGAGATTTCATGCAGGCGTGAGGTATGGAAAGAGGATTGCAGTAATTGTATTGTTTCCTAACAGACCATACTCGAGAGAGTATCAACAGGCATAAAAGGGTACTCTTAACCAACATAAAAAGCAGAAAATGTGTGAAGTGTACCTACTTTTACACAGCATTGCCGACTTGCTTTCTTTTGGGGAGCAATCTTCTAGAGCAGGAACCAACTCTCTCAGGGTATCAAAGCCTTTCTGTAAAAAAAGAGCAACTATCAAGATGAACAAAAAGATCAAACCAAAATGAAAGATTTATTCTGAAAAAGACACATTAACATGATTAATGTAATATCATTAGCGACATCCCTGAATAAATCAATATCCAATTGTTTCATGGCTATTTGGGGAACAGTCAAAACTACCATCCCAAGGTAGGGGGATGCCCCGTGGAACTGTTTGCCCTCGGCCTAGGGGTCTCGGGCAAACAGTTCCCCAGGGCTTCCCCCTACCTTGGGATGGTAGTTTTGACTGTTCCCCAAATAGCATTGAAACAATTGTTTTATTACCAAATAAATATTTTATTATTAATGCTGAGGTCAAAAAAAAACGCTTTAACAGGGCTCTCAAGGGGAGATTTCTGTGCATCAAATTTGCGTCGGGTAACAGTTCGCTCTGACCGGGAAACAGTTTCGACTGTTTCACCCCTATAGCTGAAATTGGACAAAAAGCCAGAAACAGTCAAAAATGACTAATTATAATTTATATAGTTTATTGGGTAATAATGTATTGTGCTATACAAGTCAACAGGCAACCATTTCCTAAATAATTTAGTGGCTTCCTGGATAATGACAATATCAATTTAATTTTAAATAAAGTCCATTATACATGAACCAATAATTTAGCTCGACTGCATGCAGTGTTACAAGTCAATTACACCAAATTTCCTACAATGATCAAGCAATAAAACAGCTGTGATGTCTTACAGCAGCCAAAGTGACCCACCTTTGATGTCCATCTTACCTGGTAGACTCATCTTTTGCACATAATTCTCATTTCTTACAAAGGATAACGGGCTCATGGACTACTGACCATATGTATTATCATTCCGGGAATGGTCACATTCCTGTTTGCATTGCCCAATGGCTGGAAAATGAGCTAGTTTGTTTAGAAATGAAAACCACTTTTGACCATCACAACACAAACACCAATTATCAGAAATAAGAAATAACAAAATAATTTCATAACCTATCATCTGAATTGGCATGAAGCAAACCTGTATTTTGTCCCGGCGTTTATATTCTGCCTTGATGTGTGAATCTCTCTTGTGTCGAGGGACTGGGTTGGCAGGACGACCACATTTGCGACCATGTTTTGGGGATGACCCAGTGGAGGAGCAGTTACCATCGGACTTGCGTCTGGTCTTCTCACCATAGTGGCCATTAACCTTCAATAGAAACCAAACTTTAGACTAAAGCTTCTGAATGTGTGGTCATTGTTTTATTTAACCATTCAATCCTTGCTTGCCATCATCAGTCTAGTACAGGCCCAAAGGACTATGTATGGTTTTGGCCCCCAAATCCATCAAAATTAAAAATCTGCAATAGAACTTTCAAACCACTGTTTCTTTAATTTTGAATACTTCCCCAGTACTATTATGTAAACATTTATTGGTGTTTTCAATTTTGACTGCCATGGTAACCAGGTCATATTTGCATAAATTATTGAAATTTGATTATTCAGTCAATTTTGACAGGTTTTCACCTAGTTTTTCTCTTAGCTACCATAGAGCGCACTCTTGAACAAACTTTATATTTCTCATAAAGATTTATTACAGGTGCCTACACATTATCCTTTGATATTAAGTTTGTTCAAGCATGCGCTCTATAGTTTCCAGGAGAAAAACTGAATATTAAATTTTTTCTAATTTATGCAAATTTGAACTTGTTACAACCATGATTAGAATAAAAAAAAATAAAAAAAAATTTAATAGTATTTGGGAAGTATTCCAAATTCAAGAAACAGTCATTTCAAAGTTCATTTAAAGTTTTTAAATTTTGATGCATTTAGGGGCCAAAAAATGCCCAAACCATACAATCCAACAAAAATGGTTTACTGTTATTTTTGCAAACTTTTGTTAGATAATATTTAAAAGATGATTTTCATATATGTATGATTATAATTTCACTCACAGAAGTAACACATCATCTGACAACATTTTGTGTTCATGCATTTCCAAAACAGAAAACATTTTATGGGGCTGGGGGAGTTTATTTTAAATTATAGACTATCAATAAAATTACACACAAACAAACATCTTTGAAAATAGAACAAGATACACTATTTTCAGATTTGGTCAACATGGCATAACATAAAAATATAAAAACAAAAACAAAAGTAAAATTTATCTTTAAAATGAGGAATAGCTATATAGCTCTGTTGAAGTTTCACTTTATCCGCACAAAACAAAAACTGCATAAAAAATAAATATTCAAGAACAGTTGTTTCCCCTGCGCTATACACAGACAAATTTGAAATAAATTATAATTATGAAATAGACTATAAACAGTTGCGCGCGTCTTAAGATTTATCTGAAACAGGCTGTATGCGAACAAACACATTTGATTGGCGGATCAGGATATTCCCAGTCGTTCATTGGTTGACCAATAGAACGCGAGATGATGTCAGCGTTAGGTATAAAAACCTTTGCGCACCACATTTGATTTCTTGCCAGTTCAGCCGTCGACAGGAACGCAATTTCACGTGACTGTTCATTGTCTCGGCTAGCTGTGGTTGGGAAAATTTCTCAAATTGATTCATTATTCGGATATTTTACCGTGAAGACATCAGAAAGAAGATGAATCAACAAGCAATCATGTTTGCGTGAGAAAACCCGCTCCGAACTGGAAATAATCCGTGTAATAACGTTTCAATACAGCACATGTCCAAGGCTAATGTTGCCGACATGGAGCGTCGTTCAAAATCGACTTACACTGAAGAAATTAAATGGAGAAGCACTGCATGAATTAAAAACAAATTAAATACCTTCAGTTTAGTTGAGATATCCTTGTCCAGCTGTGTAATTGCGTCGTTAATTGTTAAAGGTGTTTCGTAATCGTCGACAACCTTCATCTTGGCTGGGGGCTCGGAAAATATCTCTTGGCGGAGGCTTATATACCCATATCCCACAATGCATCGGCGAGGTATAAAATTAGCGTAGAACCCAAAGTAGATTTTCCCACGAAGTTAGCATTGTTATAATAAATGTTTTGAAAACACTGTCACTAATGAAATGAATAACATAGAAAAGTAATGCAGTGTTTAAATTTTCACGGTAGCATTGGGAAGTATGCATATTTTCACGGAACATATCGCGCTTATGAAAGTATGTCAAAATGGAGGATTATTTTATTGGACACTCGACTCCGGTGTTCACAGGTGAACAACGCGATTGTGAAGTTATTGCTATCGTTCTTTACACTTTCACCGAATTTTACGATGGCAATATGGACTAGCTTGTCTTAATATTTGCTGTCGGTAGCCATACTTTTAGCTTGCATCTGTGCTAATCGAGGGCACTCCCAGTCCCTCATTTTGAACAATGGCCATGTTGGGAAACGTGACAACATGTAGGCCTAATCTATATTTCACGGTTATGTGGAAATGTTTGACAAATACCAAAAGAAAGAGTTTAAGTTGATAGAAATAAGTTAAGAAATCGTATTGTTTTAGGCAGTGTTGACTTGTGGCGGCATAGAGACCAACCGGTATAATAATAAATTTCAACGTCTCAATGTCCCTCTTCTGTTGTTTCAAATGACAACTGATCACACTGCAATTAATCATTCATCTTCATGTTGTATTTATGATCCGAATATATATTGAATATTTGCCGGACCGTTTTTCATGATCAGCCATTGTGTGTTGTCAGGACACTCGCTGTGCCAGCTGGTTTGAGCCGGTTTATACCAGACAGGGTTCTCTCTGGGTATAAGTGTACCGTACTTGTGCTCCACGTGTGTACACACGTCACCTCTGTAGATGTCTCATTTGGTGAAGTCACTTAAGTTATTAGAATATCTCTGGACAAGTTTTACCAAATATAAGATCTTTTATATGATATAATTGCGCTAGAATTTCATAAGTAAATCGACTATGAACACCACAGATGTTATCACAACAGAGACGTATCGTGTATATACTACATTATGTCTCTGGTTAGCACCTGTGATTTTATGATGTAGGTCTATTGTTAGATACAGAAGCATTGCCAGAAATCTCATTTTAAAAGCTTGTTTAATAACACATTTATAATAGGAATAATTTCCCAAACACTTCCAAAGTGTCGAGGTCCTGGGAATTCCCTCTCCTGTTTGTTCAAGTAGACAGTCTATAAAATTCGTGGCGGAGATTCCCGGAGACGTGCAGCAGGACCGAGTTGGTTGGTGCTATATATAAAGTATCTGAGTTAGGAGGTCCCGGGTTCGAATGCCGGTCTGGCCCTTTGCATTATACCTTTTAAATGTTACATAAATCTACTGTAATAATTAACTTCCCCTGTAATTTATCCATATTCACGTCACTCTCCCTAAGCTGTAGTTGTTAATGTTGGTTACGATGCAAGGTAACACTTATATAAGTGCATTAACACTTGTTTCTGTCTCCAATTCATTTATGTTCAATCATGTTTGTATTATATATTACATATGTTATGTGAATAAAACAAAGTTTTAACTAAATATACTGTAATATACCACATGTTTACAATACGATTCCACCGACTGCACATGATGGACCGACTTATACATCAAACGCAGTAAATATTTCATTTGACTTCCATGCAATACAGACTTACGTTTGTAAAAAGCACTCGTGTGTTTTTCTGTATAAAACCACGTACTTGGATAACAGTCTAATCTAATTCCGTGATAAAACTACGACACAATTAAAATGATATATATATGTATACATAAGTACATACACATGAATGCATATATATGTACCGTATGGGGGGCGATGTACAATCTGAAGCGGTACGTCGTTTTGAGACTGTACAAAGCATAAATGACGGATAAACATTAGGATAGAACTGTATTACCACTATAAACTGTATAGTACGACCAATAAATAGGTCCTTTCGCTCATTCGGCGTAAAACCCTACAAGGTTAGCGCGTGTAAAGGAGGGAAGCTGACAGCGCTATATGGACCTATTAGTTCAGTAGGAATAACGGGATAAGCGAATCTTGAACTAATAATCAATATCTCTTTATCTAACACAGCTAATAGGGATAATATTAATAATATACAATAAATCAAAATACCCAAACCAATTTTATAAAACAAATAGCACAGCGATGTTATACCTAATAAAACATAATATGTATACACGAGCACATACACCAACCCCTAAATATCCTCCCACAACCAACCAATCCCCCTCCTCCCAACCATCCCCAACCCCTCTTCGGTCCATACAACTAGCACTCGATACAGCCCGTAAATCTATCGGCACATTTCTTTGATACCCATCACTTCTTTCAATCTCCAACCCCTCCAGCTCACATCAATGTTATAACCAAACTATAACACTAACCTGTCCCCCTTTTCTATCCCTTCACTCCATATTTTATCCCTTCTACTCATTTTCCTTTCTTTTCTTCGTCTGCTGGATAACCGAACTACTTGGTAGTGAAGCGGACGTAAAACCTATCAATCAATCAAATCAGTATGACTAATGTTGCATCGATCATGAAAACACATATTTTTTATGAATATAACAAATTTGTAATATTTAATACAACAAATCCTATGAGTGAATAGAGTGACGCTGCGATGTGCTTTGGTGTCTTGGTGGTTATTGCAAATGTGCCCCTTTGACGCCATGTCTTGGTGGTTACTGGCGCTGTGCCCCTATGCCGGCAGGTCTTAAGTTACTGGCGTTGTGCCCCTCTGGCGCCATGTCTTGGGTAACTGACGTTGTGCCCCTCTGACGCCAGGCCACATGATCATGGTCTAAATTTGTCTTAAGTTTTGACTTGGCCAATTACAGATAACGTCATGAAAAGTGACATCATACGTGTTGGCTGAGCAAAATCTTAAGTCTAAGATTGTTTCATGATCCCGGCACCAGGTCTTGGGTTACTGGCGTTGTGCCCCTCTGACGCCATGTCTTAGGTTACTGGCGTTGTGCCCCTCTGACGCCATGCCTTAGGTTACTGGCGGTGTGCCCCTCTGACGCCATGTCTTAGGTTACTTGCGTTGTGCCCCTCTGACGCCATGTCTTAGGTTACTGGCGTTGTGCCCCTCCTACGCCATGTCTTAGGTTACTGGCGTTGTGGCCCCTCTGACGCCATGTCTTAGGTTACTGGCGTTGTGCCCCTCTGACGCCATGTCTTAGGTTACTTGCGTTGTGCCCCTCTGACGCCATGTCTTAGGTTACTGGCGTTGTGACCCTCTGACGTCATGTCTTAGGTTACTGGCGTTGTGCCCTCTGATACCATGTCTTGGCTGGGGTTACTTATCCTGGACGGTTAACCCTCACCTGTCCACCTGTTCGAGTGACCGCTAGATAAGGCTTTATTTGCACCTCGTGATAATATATTTCTTTTCAAATGAGGCATAAACATTTAACTTTTACAGATGTTCACACAAACAGGGCGATCTCTCAAACTGCAAATATGTCTTACTTTATGCGGGAAGAAAATAAATCAATGCTTTAAGAATAGTTTATTCATCCGATTTACTAATACTAGTAACTTTAAAGAACTAATACTGATTCTATCCCAGCATTATACGACGCTGACAACAATTGTTTAGTGCATAACGAAATTAGTAAAGCTAATGTGTTAAAAAAGTATTTTTGCTCGATATCTAATATCGATGAAAACCTGGACAGTCCCAGTTTTCCATCCCGTTGTAATTCGTCGTTGCATTCCATTGTAATTACTTAATCTGATATTCATTACATTCTTAAAACATTGAAGTTAAACAAGGCAAATGGAAATGATAATATAAGTCATAATATGTTAGAAAATACTGCCGAGACAGTTTGCGAACCCCTGTTTATTTTATTCGCTAGATCATTAGGAGAATGCAAATTCCCCTCGGCATGGACATTAGCTACACTTCTACTATTATTTAAGAAAAATGAACGAACTCTTCCAAAGTTCTGTAAGCAAACTGTTTGAGAGAGTCATACACAAATACCTTCATAATTATATGTTAGAGAATAATTTACTTTACAAATATCAATCGGGTTTCGTTAAAGGACATTCAACCGTTTACCAATTAATAGAAATTTATCATAATGTTTGTTCTGCTCTGGAAATTAAGCAACATCCAAGGCTTTTGACAGGGTGTGGCACAGGGGTTTTATTAATTAAATTGTATGCTTATGGTATCGAGGGTAATATTCTCTGCTGGATTAAGGATTATCTACTTGAAAGAAAGCAGCAGGTCATATTAGGTAACTCTACTTCTTCAATTGGGCATTTAAATGCAGGTGTTCCACAGGGGTCGGTTCTCGGACGTTTCCTATTTTTAGCTCACCTGGCCCGAATGGCCAAGCCAAGTGGGTTTATGGCATGGTGCGGCGTCCGTTGTCCGTCCGTCCGTTGTCCGTCCGTCCGGCGTCAACTTTTTACTTTAAACAACTTCTTCTCAGTAACCAAAAGGCCTAGGGTGATGATATTTGGCCAGAAGCATGCTTGGATGAAGGGCAACCAAGTTTGTTCAAATAAATGACCTTCATCAATTTTCAAGGTCACGGGGGTCAAATATGTTAAAATCTTTAAACAACTTCTTCTCAATAACCAAGATGCCCAGGCTAATTATATTTTAGCATGTAGCATGCTTTGATAAAGGGCTACCAACTTTGTTCAAATGAATAACCTTGATCTACTTTCAAGGTCACTGGGGTCAAATGTCTTAAAATCTTCAAACAACTTCTTCTCCATAACCAAAAGGCCCAGGGTACTGATATTGGGCCTGTAGCATGCTGGGATGAAGGGCTACCAAGTTTGTTGAAATGAATGAGTTTGACGTATTTTCAAGGTCACTGGGGTCAAATGTCTTAAAATCTTCAAACAACTTCTTCTCAATAACCAAAAGACCCAGGGTACTGATATTGGGCCTGTAGCATGCTGGGATGAAGGGCTACCAAGTTTGTTCAAATGAATGACCTTGACCCACTTTCAAGGTCACAGGGGTCAAATGCCTAAACTCTTCAAACCACTTCTTCTCAAAAACCAAACGGCCGAGGATACTGAAATTGGGCCTGTAGCATGCTGGGATGAAGGGCTACCAAGTTTGCTCAAATGAATGTTCTTGACCCACTTTCAATCTAATGGCATTGTTCGACATTCAAGGTCACAGGCGTCATATGTTTATATCTTTTAATAGGTTCTTATGAATCAAACACTGATATTCTGCCTGTTGCTGTAATTTAGTCCACTTTTAAGATTATAAGTGTGAAATTAATACCAGGTGAGCGATGCAGACCCATTGGGCCTCTTGTTATAAATGATATCGATGATCAATTACTTTCACTTGCAAGAATGTTTGCCAATGACACGTCTTTATCATTTTCATCGAGGATTGTAATATAAATAGAAAATGTATTGAACCATGATTTGGCAACTATTGAAGATTGGTCAGACAAATGGAATGTTCATTTTAATCCAACCGAAACTGAAGTAGTTCATTGTTCACAAAAGTTAGATGTACATTTAATGTTTAATAATACACCATTACAAACTTCCACTGATCACAGACATCTAGGTGTAACATTAAATAAAAACTGTAAATAGTCTGTACATGTTGACAATATTGTTAAATCAGCATCAAAATATATATCAGTATTACGTAAGTTAAAATATATTTTGAATAAGAAAACATTGTCAAAATTGTATACAGTTTTTAT